ATTAAATTTATGAATTTTTTTTTATTCAATAAATGATTCATTAAAATAAAAAAAAAAATATATTGGGATCTCTGGCAGAGGCGTGGGACATAGCAATTCGACCTATCTACTCTAATTTTGAATTTAGCCACCAGATAGCGTATTCAAGTGCTAGAGATACCACGTGGCGTAGCAAAATTCGACCTATCTACTCTAATTTTGAATTTAGCCACTAGATAGCGTATTCAAGTGCTAGAGATCCCAATACATTTAAAGATAATTAACATGCATATTATAATTGTTTATTTCTTTACATTATTTAATTGATTAATTTTATTCTTTATATTATTTAATTAATTAACATTTCTTTCCTTATTTAATATATCATTTATTATTCTAGTATTTATAGATTATATAAGAAGTAGTATTATTATTTTCTTCACCATAAGTGAATTATGAAACTCGTGTAAATGATTTTCTCATTGATTTCCCAACCTATATATATATATATATATATGCACTTGTATATATAAACTCAAGTACATAACCTCAACATACTGTATATGTGTGTGTGTGTGTGTTTATGTTCGAAATATCGAGAAACATTAAGGAATGTAAACCTGGTGAAGAAGACCAAATTAAAATAATAATAAAAAGATAAAGTAAAGAAGAAATAAAAGAAAAGTTGTTTCAAGAAATTTACAGTTTTACAGGAAAATTTATTTCAAATTAAATTACTTTTAAATATATAGCACGCGTACGTACACCATCATACCTGAATTACTTTCGCAACGATTCATAGTCTTTTATACCGTGTCAACATATTATTTCTTTTATCTGGGATAAGATAAGCAGAAAAAAAGGATGATAAGCTTTTTCGATAGATTCGCCAAATTTAAAGTAGATTATGATTTTCATTTATATAATTGCAGAATTATTTATATTATCAAAATAAATTGTAAAATCAATTTTGCATATTTTTTATATAGTCAAGTATCAATATTTTTATGTATTTTTTTTTTAAATTTTATTACATACAATGATTGGTTGAAAAATTTCCTAGTTACGGGTCAAAATTTTTCAACCCACGTCGTTTATATTTATTTATATATATATTTTCTTATTATTATTATATTATTTATATTATATTATATTTATTTAGTTTATATTAATTTCATTTATATTATTGTTATTATTAATATTATTATTATTATAATATTATATATATATAATAAAAGCTTAGAAATTATGTAATATAAAAAATGTTTATTTATTTATTAATTACTTAAATCAAACAAATAATAAAAATTTACAATAAAATTCTTAACTCAAAAATAGTTTATAGACAACACACAAATTGCAATTTTATAAAATCTTAAATTTTCTTTTCATTATACATATGTACAATAAAAATGGAGAATAATTTAACGACGAAAATATAATCACTTATAAGAAGAAAAAAAAAACTATTTTTAAACTTACTTTTCGTTGCTTAACAATAATGAAACTAACTCAAAAGTGAGTAAAACAATATAAAATACATTTCTATATAAAAGAATCCTTAATTTTGTTAAATCGTGGACCACGTTACAGATGTCGAGCTACAAAAACCTCAGTAATGCACACAAAAAAAAAATAATAAAAAGAGAGAGGAAGAGAGAGAGAGAGAGAATAGAACAAAAATAAACTCGCGTAAAAACGACGCTTTCATTAAAATCGTTCGTACTCGTGTCTAACTCGTTGACCGCGAACGCATTAATGATTTCGAGTCTGGTAACAATTCCACGATGCATGAGGACGACAAAAATTCATTTCCTCTTCTGACACACACAACACACGTGCGCGCGCGCGCGCGCGTACATCACCAAACACACCAAACAACACACGCACACAAATGTATATATATCGTAGAAGAATCGATCGACGATCGTCATACATTGCGACGTAGCCCTCTCGTGACGAATATTGGAATGAGAGAAAGAAAGAAATGCGAAAAAAAGGTTACCAGTTTGGCGCGTAATTTGAAATTCTAATATGGAAAAGAGAAGAAGGATTTCATGAATAAACACCAGGTACACATCACGTACGTATTTGTTCGGTATATTGTACTAGAAATCGTTTAATGTATTTTCCTTTTAATAACTTAAACTAATTTTATTCGATATTTCGATTAAGTAATAATAATAATAGTTGTGATAATAACATTAACACTAGATATACCAAACCAGTCATTTTGGCTGGTCGCGCCATTTTAATTCAAATTTTCTACTTCATGTAACATTTGATTTCTGTAAATAATTAAGCGTTTTGTTATTTACAAATGTCTATAAATCCATTTATCTATTAAAATTATTATTGTTAAACATTTTTTGTTATTTATTAAGATAAATAAAGATTGGAAGGTTCAAAAAACATTTTTTTTTTAATACACCAATCATTTTGACTAGTGTGGTAGAAATAGGTATACTAAAAATAATGGTATATCTGGTGTTAATATTTATTATCTAATAATACTTCAAAAGAAGACTATTTCTATTGAAATATGTTTCCAAAAATGTTTTTAAAGGGATTGACAGCTTTGATATTCAGTAAAACATAATACCTAATAATAATCATAATAACAATAATAACAACAATAACATTCTAGTAGTAAAAGAAAATGTAACTCGTTAAAGATAACATTTTCTCGTGATTAAAAAACTACACACGAGTATGATAAAAAATAAAAATAAAAATAAAAATAAAAATAAAAATAAAAATAAAAATAATAAGAAATTGTAGTAAGCGTATAATAAAAAGGAGAACGATAAATTAAAAAATAAAACACGTATACTACTATTACCGTTATTCGTACCATAAATCTTGAGAGCACGTGCGAGCAAGGAGTCATGATAATAATTCATGCATTATATGAGTAGGAGTAGTTAATTATGCGAACTGTAAGAACAAATTACTAAGAAACTTTAAAAGATTAAAAATGTTACGATGAAAAAAAAAAAAAATGCACTGTAAAAATTATGATAACGAATATAATAAATTGATCGTAAACGAAGTTAATATCGATGCAAATTATTTTTTTGCAATAATTTAGTTTGAGAGTCACTGTAAAAATGATTAATCAGGTGAAAGAGAAACCTTTCCCCTGAAAAAAAATAAATAAAAAAAGGGGATTATTACAGAAGTACATTGAAGAAAAGGTCACCGTATTACAAAGAGATAAATTTTATTTTTGTTATTAATATTATTATTATTATTTTTTTTCTTTTTTCAAACGAAATGAATCTCGAAACAATGTTTGAGAGCCACTGCTGGGACCAGGGTCGATACGACGTCGAAATGGATTCGGGGTGGAGAGGATGATGTCAAGGAGAGAAATTTCAAATCGCTCGTCGAACCATTGAATTCCCATAAGAAGAAGAAAAAGAGAGGGAGAAAGAAAGAGAGAGAGAGAGAGAGAGATAGAAAATGATGGAGAACAAAAAATAATGAAAAATAAAAGGGGGATTTGAGGAATCCCAATCTGTAACCTAATTTATATTACAATACCGTTATTGGTCGATGATGTTAAATGGAGTTAAAAGAAGAGAGTTAACACTAGATATACCGCCATTTTCGGTATACCTATTTCTACCACACTAGTCAAAATGACGAGTGTATACAAAAATTGTTTTTTGAGGCTTCCAGTCTTTATTTACTCTTAAAAAATAACAAATAATGTTTAACAATAATAATTTTTATAGATAAATGGATTTATAGACATTTTTAAATAACAAAACGCTTTATTATTTACAGAACTTGAATGTTTATATTACATGAGGTTACATGAAGTAGAAATTTTGAATTAAAATGGACCGAACAGTCAAAATGACTGGTCTGGTATATCTAGTGTTAAAAAGAAACAAAATTAAAGTTTCTCTTTTAAAATAACCGATTATTGCCAATCATAGACGAGGAGAAAGAGAAAGAGAAAGAGAAAGAAAATATATTATTCAGTTCCCTTTGTTCTCTGCCGAAGGACTAAGAAAAGGCGACGACGGACAACCAAGTCAATGACGTTGTTGTCATGTCGTTGTCTTATGTTAGTTGGGTGGCAACGATGAAAATATTCTTAATTAGCAAGCTTGAGAAATTATGCAAGCTGTGAGAGATCGCACGTGCCGTTGTGAGGCGTCGTCGTTGTCGTTGTCGTCGTCGTCGTGTAATTTTCTTCGATCAACGTTTGCAAGAGTAAACGAGGACGTTGCTGTTGTATCACGTGATTAGGCGACCCCTACGGTCATCCTCCATTTCTTCTTTTTCTTCTTCTTATTTCATTGAGAGAGAGAAAAAGAAAAGACCGAGGATCATTAACAACGTTTCTTCATCGAAATTGATACTTCTTGGAAAGTTTCTTTTTTTATTCTGTTAACTTTTTTTTTTTTATGAACGTTTGTAGGTAATTTATTGAAGTGAAAACTTCTTTAGAATTGGGGTGATTTGAAAATCGTGAAACGGAAGAACGTGAAACCGATGAAACAAAAATAATTAATTAATTAATAAAATTTATTATATAATTAAATTCTATACTATTTAATTCTATATATTAATTAATTAATTAATAAAATTCTATATATAAAAATTCAATGTCACAATATGTTTATCCACTAATAATTCTGAAACTACTCAACTTATCTTAACCCCTTCCCGTACTTTAGCGAGTCTGACTCGCGATGAAGATTTTGGCCCAAACATGCATATCGCGAGTCAGACTCGCGATGAATTACTTGGGCCAAACATGCATATCGCGAGTCAGAGTCGCGACGAGATACTTGGGCCAAACATAAGTATCGCGATTCAGGGTCGCGACCGGATACTTGGCCCAAACATAAATATAAGAAGCCGAGCTCGCGGACTGATTTTTTGCCCGTTATTGTCGTGACGGAATGCTAGTTTCTATCAGTACTTCGTGATAGTTAGACACGATTCGTATCGTTGCTTTCACGAAGCAGTTCAATTATTAAAATTTAAGAAACCCCTCCAAAATGCAAGGTGCAAAAGTGTTATATAAAGGTAGTGATAACGAATCTTCTGACAGTGACATAATTATGCCAGTCGCAAAGCGTGTAAGGCGCATGATTATAGATGAGAGTAGTGAAGAAGAAAGTACGACACGACAAGCATGGATTTGGCAAGAAGTACCAAACACACCGATAATTTGGAAGTATTCCGAAAATCATGGAATAGAAGCGTCTGTCTTAAATAATTTAAGTGCCAATCCAAGAATACTAGACCTATTCTTCATTACATTTGATAATAAGTTTTGGGAAATCCTGGTTACGGAAACAAATCGCTTCGCAGATCAAACTCTACACGACGAACGTAAAAAACGGTATGTCGACGACACTTGGTATTCTGTCACTTCAGACGAAATCAAGGCCTATTATGCACTCTGTATATTAATGGGTCAAGTAAAGAAATCAAATATTCAACTTTATTGGACTAGAAGAGGTGTATTAGAAACGCCAATATTTAGGCAAACGATGCCTTTTAAAAGATTTCGACAAATTTCGAGATTTTTACATTTCTCCGATAATGAAACTGATAATAGTAAAGACCGACTTCGCAAGATAAGACCTGTAATTAATTTTTGGAATCAAAAATTTAAAGAAATTTACACACCGAGTGAATATGTTAGCATAGATGAATCCCTTATGAAATATAAGGGGCGTTTAGCGTACAAAGAGAGGACTCAGAGGACGAACATCAGTGTGGTCTGTTTAGCGCGCGTCGATGTGTACCGCTTGGGCCCGAGTTTCGTCGAGCTAAATGGCACGGGAAGGGGTTAATGAAATTTATTTTATTTCATGTGATTTTTTTCCAACTTAACACATAGCACAATTTTTATCGCGATTTTTTTTTAATTATTTTTTGTTACTAATTTAAAGATTTTTATTTAGAGGTCATCTAGGTTCTGTAAGGTTCTTTCAATAGATGGCACTGTATTACAATTCAATGATTTCGATATATTCACGTCTCGAAGCTTGGATTTCTTTGAAGGTTTTACTTCTACCATGTGTGATTTGTCCACATCTATTTTTTGTTTAGTTTCTTATGGTTATGATTTTATTTTTTAGAATATTTATAACTTTATTATTTATTTATTATTATGGTTAAGGTAAATTGATTTTTAACGATATTTTATCACTAGATATATCAGACCAGTCATTTTGACTGGTCGGACCATTTTAATTCAAAATTTCTACTTCGTATAACATTTGATTTCTGTAAATAATTAAGCGTTTTGTTATTTACAAATATCTATAAATCCATTTATCTATTAAAATTATTATAGTTAAACATTATTTGTTATTTTTTAAGAGTAAATAAAGATTGGAAGCAAAGCTCAAAAAGCATTTTTTTTATACACCAGTCATTTTGACTAGTGCGGTACAAATAGGTATACCGAAAATGACGGTATATCTAGTATTACAGACTATTTGAAATGATCCAACTGTAAGATTATGACAATTGTTAATACAATAATACAAATATCTGCTTTTTAAAGTATGATTTTCAATTAAATACTTCTATATTGAAGTTTATAGGTCATTCTATTAATACCTCTTTGAGAGTTGTCCAATTGTCTTTTGTAAAAGAGAACCATATTTCAAGACTACATAATGATCATTCTATAAAAATGTCCATTTTTGAAATTTATGGTCTTAGCAAAATGATCACAAAGTAGCTTGTTGCACATTTCATTGATACTTTTTTTTTAATAAAAATTATGTTTTACTCTAAAAGAAAACAAAACAATTATTATTCAATCAAATTGTCCATTATTAAAATCATGCTGTCTATTTGGTTAGGTCTATCAACATGACTAATAATAATTTTCATTTCATAACATTGTTCATATCTTTTTTAAATCATACTGCTTGACTTTATATGTTCACCACCAATAGAGCTGTTAACAATAAATTTAATTCCATGAAATTGTTCAATTTTTTTTTCAAAATTATGCTGTCTATTTGATAATACGTTTATCAGCATAATTATTCTTTAATTTTTATTCTATAAATTAGTTTATTTAAAAAATTATGCTATTAGGTAGTATGTCAATCAGTATAGTTTATAACAAATTTCATTGAGTTTATAGATTGGAATTTAAACAAAAGGTTTTTGGATGGATAACTGTTCATAGAAGAAATTGTTCAGGGTAGCTTTGGATGTACAGTAACAGTGAGAGGAAGTGAGTGAAAGAGAGGATGTATTTTGGTGGTCGAGTAAATCCTATGTGAGTCCTCTTCTGCTTTCTCTGTTTCCTGCGATTTCACAGGAAAACTACTACTCTTGTATCTCTCTCTCTTTCTCTTTCTCTTTGTGCATATATACATACATATGTTCGAGAAACGAAAGCGAGGATTTGCTTGAAGGGGGAAAAAAATAACTGGAGGAAAAGGGAGAAAGAGAGAAAGGAAAAGAAAAAAAGTGGGACGCGCCCTGCTTTCGTGAAAGGGTGCTTTGTGTCAGATGGTCAGGCACATCCTTTAAACCCTTACCCGTATACCCTTTACCCCTCTCTCGATTTACCTTTCCTTATATTGCTACTTTTATTTATTTATACAAAATAATTATATTTTTTAATAAAACAATAATCCATATTTATAAATGAAGTATTACAAATTTTAATATTGAGAAGTTACCAAATTTTATATATATATATTTAAATTATTTTATTTATATTTTATTTATAATATAATAATTATAATATATAATA